CTGCGAAGCGATGATCCCTGTGGAGGTAGGAATTGGTTCACTTCGGAAGGACCTATACAACGAAGCCGACAATGAAGCGCTTATGCATGCAAGTCTGGACCTAGTTGAAGAACATCGCAGCAAAGCTCAGCTAAGAATAGCTGCCTATCAGCAACGCGCAAAGAGGTTCTTCGACTCTAAGGTCAGGAGAAGAGACTTCTAGGTCGGCGACCTTGTTTTGAAGGAAGTTCTCGGTACTAGAAAACTAAGTGCGGGAGTCTTAGGACCGAACTGGGAAGTTCCATACTGCATCGCCAAAGTGATAAGACCGAGAACTTATCATCTCAAAAAGCTGAATGGTTCCGAAGTATCCTGAGCTTGGAATGCTAAGCATCTCCGACCATATTATCAGTAATTCCGAACTCAGTTTTTCCTTGTAATGATTTTATTTTTCAGTCTTTGTAAATGTAAATAACAAGTGTATTATCCTGTTCCTTTGTAATAATCTTCGCATGTAATTTTGCTCGTATAGACGTGTTATAATTATGTTCGCATAGGCTTGTTCTAATGTTATAAACTATTAGAATGCGATCTCATAAGGTACATAAATTATAAGTGCTCTAGAGATTAAGAAAGATGCATTTCATTAATAAGTACAGCGAACAAGATCCCAAAAATAAATTACAATCATCGGTCCTAACCCCCAACTCCTGGAGGACCGACCTCGTCATCTTAGAGCTGGTCGCCATCCGTCTAGTCGGCTGTAGACTTCTCTGGGGCATATCCCGAACCCTCTCCCTGGTCAAATCCTTGGGCGGCCTCCGCTACTTCCTCATCCTCAAGCCGCGCCATGGATATGAGAGTTTCTCGCCAATCCTCCGAAAGGTCGAACATATCAATCTCCAGATTCTTCTACCGCAAGGCATAAATGGACTCAATCGCCCATTCAACAGCCTTTGCCTTAATCTCCTCTGCTTGGCTCCACATCTCTTTGGTTAGAGAAGTAACTCTTCCTTAACTTGCTTGGAGTTCGGCCTCGAGAGCCTGCCTTTGCTTCTCGGAGGCCTCCCTCTATTGCTCTGCTCGTTGAGAGGTCATTTTGAGCTCCTAGTCTTTCTCGCCGACCTCCCTGGAGAGCCTGGCTATAGTCTTCTAGAGCTCCTTTACCTCCTCCCCGTGCTTCTTGAGCTCGGACCTTTGAAAATCCACCGTGCGAAGAGCTGCATTCCTTTCGTTCAGATACTGATCTGCCGATCCAATGGATAGCTCATTTTCTGCTTTACCGGCTTCCAAATCCCGTTTGAGCCGTGCGTTCTCTTCCTTCAGCGCGACCTCTCCTGCAGCAGCTCCCAGCCGAACCTTTTGCAGGGATAGTTGCATGGAGAGCAGAGCCTGCGAACAAAAAGAATAATTTCAATTTACCAAGAACAGAAAGGCAAAGTCCTCGCTGAGGACAGTTCGTTTTACCTTGCTTATGTGCTGGATTGATGTGGACATCAGGTCCACATGGTTGGAACCCACGAACTCTTCAAATACTTCTACAAGTTCACACTCCAACAAGGCAAAGACCGTCGACTACAAATGATCCGACAGTTGTCCTATCGAATCCAACACTGGAGTATCCTTACCGGTAACCCCGGTAGGGGTGTCGCCTACCGGCTCCTTACCCGACCTCTTTCCTGCGACCTTGATTTGCCTTGCTCGAGATGCTCCCGAAGTAGTGGGAATGCCAAACTGCGACCTCCCGGGCTAAACGCCCAGATCCTCATGTTCGGACTCTTACTCTTCGACCTGAATTTGTTGCCTCTTCCTGGGTCACTAGGTCGTTGTCTTTTACTTCGAGTGAGCAGCCAAAGGCTAGGAAGTGCCTATAAGACGGATCGGGGCACCCGTCAAAGGTTGGGAAGCCTCAACAGGACGAGTCGAAGCCCCTGATGTTGCCCCTTCGGCCGGGGGACCACTGGGAGCGGCTTCGGTCGTCCTAGCGGTCCTCGCTCGAGGGAAAGTGAACTGCCTTCGTTGTGGCGACCCTAGCACATTCGGAGGCATAGTTGCTGCATATGAGTATCGTTAGTAAAAATAGTCCATTGCCCAATCAAGAAAGACCCAGCTAGCGCGACTTATTCGATGGGGGCTCTAAGGTCACGTCTACATTGAAGAAGCTGTACCTCTGCAGATTTGCGGTTGTCACGAGCAGCTTTGCGTCGCAACTCGCTTCGGGGAAGAAACCAAAGGCTACGATTCTGTCTGGATCCGCGAGTAGCTCCAAACTGATCTTTTTGTTAACTACCAAAAAATAAACAGCTCGTTAGCAAAAGACCAAAAACAAAAATAAATTCATTAAGGGAAAAGAACCTACTCGGGTCTTGGAAGCGGCAAAGGCCATCGTAACGAAAGAAGAAAAACTTTGTTTCGTAGGCCCCTGCGTTGCTAGGGTAACTGTGTATCCTGGCTACTATAATAGGTCGCCTGGACAAGTAGTAGGAATCCTTGTCCTTGTTCTTTTTAAGATATACGAGCAACCGAGCTCTACCGCAGTCAGCTCACCCAACCCGTTCTCACGACACGCGATGTACATGGTAACGACAATCATGTACGCATTCGGTGTGAGTTGCATCGGCGTGATCCTGAAATGATCCAGGACCGACCTGATAAAAGGGTGGAAAGGAATCAACCCCCCCCCCCCCCCTGAAGATTTCCTCGGAGATCGCAGCCAACCCACATGGTGGATGCCGAGCTGTGCGTGTCCTATCATGGAAGACATCCATGCAGATAGCGTATTGGTCTACCACTCTTTCGAGATCATCCTCAGTAAGTACCGAGAAGATCTCTTGGGTGGGACTCGTAGGAGCATCCTACGTAGACGAACTGGTCCCTTCCTTGGATCTGGTCGTTGAGGGGTCCATCCTACTGCAGTCTGCAAAAGCGACAAGCAGGGAATCTTTTAGCCTTCATACACTTCCGTACGATGACGTGGAGGAAAGCAAACACTTCCCTTCCTAAATCCCAGAAAAACCCTAACAGAATGTTTCGAGCCGCCATTCATGGCTCGAACCCAACAAGGACATTTCGTCTCTGATCAACTACCGGTAGACTAGTATCATTTATCAACTACTGGGAGTAAGAAATAAAAACAGAAAAAGATTCTTACCTCTCGGAATATGAAGATGAATCCTTCTGCTTCGAATATCAGGTACGCACTGGTTTGGAAGGCAAAGAATCCAAGTTTGCGAAAGTCTCTTGCTCTCTCTGAAAAAGAGTGCGGTGACATTGCCTGTAATGAACTTGGGTCTCATAGTGAAAGAACTGGCACTTGGTCTCCCTGAAATCAAACAACGTTTAGGTGAAAAAATATATCTCACGATTGATCGTGACCGCGCGTCGCAGATCAGCGGGAGAGAGGTGATCGTCACAGTCCAAGAAAACCAAACCGTCGTCCTTCTCCGTTGAAAAACTCAAGCGACGACACGGTTCTCCTACCGCATTAAATGCGCCCCAATCTGCATTTAATGCTCTGATAAGGGATATCGTTTCAGCATGTCATGCATTTAATGCGCATGGCTCGCATTTATTGCGCACAGGACACGTTTGTCAAAGCAGAAGGCGCTTCATTAAATGTATCCATCACGAAAAATGCAACAGGTAACCTCTGAAGAGATCATTACATAGAACACTCTTCGTCTAGCCAGTCACGAAGCAACGTGACTCCTTGATTCTACCCCATTGATCGTGAAGCGACGTGACTCAACAAGTACAGTTTTGAAACAACCCGATCCCTTGCCCAGAGGCGAATTCCAAGTATAATCAGGTCGTGAACCTAGGAAAATCGAAATCAAAGCACTGGTATGGTCTAAGATCAAGTCGTTCATCCTTAAGCAAAGACTGTATCAGGTCGCGCGTTCAAAAGCGCAGTCTCGACCTCTTTTCAAACAGATCGGAATCACCAGAGTTCCCTCGAAGGCGTCTTGTCAGGGCATGAATTATAGTTTCCAAGGTTCGATCCTCAAACCTTAAAAACTAGGGGACTTCGGTTATGCCTGAAAAAGTAGGGCTGACGTAAGATCTAGTCAGCATGAAAAGTCAGAGCTTAGGTAGGCCCGTAGCTAGTCAGAGGCAGCCACGTCATGCAATGACAGGGACGACACGCTCTTGTCAGGGCAGTGGGTGCGCGTTAGACTGGCTAGGGGCTATAGTGATTCCACGTGTCTAATCCTTGCACCAAATCGTGAAAATCACTCTAAAAGGTGGGCAATGGGACATAAAGAAGGATTTACACGGATAATCCCACCAACCCACAGATTTAGTAATCATAACCTTAATCCATCTCACTATAATTTGAGAGCTCTTCTCTCATTTGGAAGATTAGCTAATCTCTCTGAAGAAAATAACATTCTATCTCTCGTGTAATCATTTGTAAGTCAGTCCGCTGAATGTGACCTAACCACTATTATTAATACAAAATCAGTGGACGTAGGATTTGCTTTCCTAGCATCCGAACCACTTTAAACGCTGTTCTCCATTGTTTTTACTCTCATTCATTCATCCATCTTCTAGGCCAGCTCAGTATTTCATACATGTATTTGGTTGGTGTCAAAATCATGCATCAACACAAAAACATGTTTTTTTAAAATAAAAACATCTCTTACATAAAATACTACATTAAAATCCATAGACAGAAAGTAGTACAAATCTGTTATTGTCCTTGCTATCACTAAAAAGGAATTATGGTTAAATGGTTAAACGAATAATACTCTAGTCCTCTCTGATTAACCTAACCAAGAACAAGATAAAAAACCCAATTAAAAATTTTCTGTACAGGAACAGCTGTGTATATGATGAAACCTCTGTTTACCTTATTTTAAAGGAATAAATCAGCCAATGGTAACTTGAGATGTCAACACTTTCGACGTGTTAATGCTGAGAAAATACCAAGTGGGTAGCTTGCTTGTCAAATAGAAAGGCCCCACTTTGCTAAAGACTTGTCGTCTCTTTCTCTTTTAGATCTAAACGCAGTACATGCCTCAATTTACGACATTTGCAAGTCAAGGATAACCAAAACGCCTTCTGTTCTCTGTGTTGTGTCTGAAAAACAGGCGAAATAACAGAGAGATGGGGTTGGTGGGTGTCCAAGAAAATGGTAGTGGAGAAATGGGAAGGAAGAACAAGTACAAGAGAATGGATTCTGAGTTGACAGAGTTTGATGATGATAATCTTCAACTTCATGAAGATAGGAAAAATACTACCAGAAAATATGTTCTTGCTTGTGCTGTTTTTGCATCTCTCAATAACGTTCTTCTTGGATATGGTAAGCTCTTTATCATCTGGTGATAACAGTAGAACTTTTCCCTGTTGCTGTTTTGTTGAGTAACTGTTGTTTCCATGATATATTATGTTTCGTTTTGTTTTGTTGTCCTCTTTGCTAATTGATTGAGGTCTATTAATGCTGTGTGGAAATCATTCATAGTTCAGGTTTTTCATTTGATGTCTAAGTTTAGCTGGAAAAGGATAGAAAAGATGAATTTTTTTAAGCATTCAATTATTGCAATTTTTACAAATGGATAGTCTGAATTAAAGTTAATTTTCAAATATTTTTTTTTTTTTTGGTTCATTCTTCCTGATTGAAAATGATGTATACTAGGCAAAATGCAATTAGGCTCATGGTAAATTCCCACATCCGGGGGGTTACTCTCTAAAACCTATTAAATTAAATCTATCATTGGGAAAAATCGTTAATCTTCTGGTTTACAATCTATTATCGTTGCTCATTGTCATTGTGTGTTTGATTTCAATATCAGAATGGCAAGTAAATTTTGCTAAGATGCATATCACGAAAGAAGACCATGGCTTCTAGCCTTTTTTTAAGGAAAGAAGACCATGGCAAGCAACGTTTCAATTCCAGAATATCTTAAATTGGTTTTATCACAACCTCTACCGCCTGATCATATTATGCTTTGACCTATGATAGGAAAATGCTATTGACACAGTATTAATAGTTTTTCAAATTCATCTGTTAAAGGGTAATCTAGAATTCATGTTCTTCATCCGTTGACATTTTATTTTTTTTGAGCTTATGATAAATTTAAGGTACTATGGCTTTATTGTCTCATGTGTTTGATTTTTTATTTTTAAATTACCTTCGGATTTCTTCTTATGGTGCCAATCTTCTACACTTGATAAAGCAAGTGAAACAAAAATGCAGTTAACAAATTAAACTGTTTAATCTGCAGATGTAGGTGTCATGAGTGGAGCAATCATATTCATTCAAAAAGATTTAAAGATAACTGAGGTACAGCAAGAAGTTCTTGTTGGAGTCTTGAGCATCGTTTCGCTTTTTGGTAGTTTAGCGGGTGGGAGAACATCAGATGCCATTGGCAGAAAATGGACCATGGGCTTAGCTGCTGTTATCTTTCAGATAGGTGCAGGTGTGATGACACTAGCTTCTTCATTCCAAACACTGATGATAGGAAGATTCTTGGCTGGGATAGGAATTGGCTTGGGAGTCATGATTGCCCCTGTGTATATAGCTGAGATATCACCTACTATTGCTAGAGGATTCCTTACTTCATTTCCGGAGATTTTCATAAATTTAGGAATATTACTAGGTTATGTTTCCAACTACGCGTTTTCAGGTCTTTCAGAACACATAAGCTGGAGGGTAATGCTGGCAGTGGGAATTCTGCCCTCAGTGTTTGTTGGGTTTGCTCTATTTATAATCCCTGAGTCACCAAGGTGGTTGGTGATGCAAAACCGAGTAGAAGAAGCAAGATTAGTGCTTCTGAAAACAAATGAGATTGAGAATGAGGTTGAGGAGAGACTTCAAGAAATTCTACAAGCTGCTGGAATTACTGATGGAGAGAAGTATGAAGAAAAGGCTGTGTGGCGTGAACTGTTGAGCCCTTCCCCATCACTATGCCGGATGCTAATTGCTGGGTTTGGAATCCAGTGTTTCCAACAGATCACAGGCATAGATGCAACAGTCTATTACAGCCCTGAAATTTTCAAAGAAGCTGGGATTGAAAATGATACAAAACTTCTTGCTGCAACAGTTGCTGTGGGTGTTACAAAGACTGTCTTTATACTGTTTGCCATGTTGGTTATTGACAAATTGGGGAGGAAGCCCTTGCTCTATATCAGCACAATTGGAATGACTATTTGTTTGTTCAGTTTAGGTCTTAGTCTCACTTTTCTTGGAAAAGGGCAAGTCGGTATTGCCTTCACAATTTTGTCTGTTTGTGGAAATGTAGCTTTCTTTTCTCTTGGCATGGGCCCTGTTTGCTGGGTTTTGACATCTGAAATCTTCCCTTTACGTCTACGTGCTCAAGCAGCAGCACTTGGGGCTGTGGGTAATAGAGTGAGTAGTGGCTTGGTTGCTATGTCCTTCCTTTCTGTCTCTCAGAAAATTACAGTGGGCGGAACATTCTTTATCTTTTCAATTGTTTCGGCGCTTTCCATTCTCTTTGTCTACAAATGCATTCCAGAAACAAAAGGAAAGTCCTTGGAGCAGATTGAGTTGCTATTTAAGAATGAGCTTGACTGGCAAGGAAGTGAAGTTGAGCTGGGAGATGTTGAGCAACTTGTGCAGAAAGAATGACTAATGAGAACTTGTGAAGGTTCATTCAATGAGCCCACATGTTACTCTTCTTATGATTCAGTGACTGGATTGCAGAGAAAGAAAATCATTCCATGTCCATTGAATTTTACACACATAATGGAGCTACTGTCAATATGAACACATGTATCCAGAGGTAATCCTTCCTGGCATCTATACGTGTCCATGAGCGAAGGTGTTAGGATGTGATCAGTTAACGCTGCTTGAGTTGTATTCTTTATGTTTAGTCAGAGGCATACCTAAATTGATTACAGTAATACATCCCTATTAGGTTGAAAACAAATATGTTAGTCAGAGAATGTAATATGTTTCTGGCATGAATTGCTGATATTGGTTTTTGTTTTAGGTGCTAGTCTTGTGAATTGTGATTATTTTTTGGAGAACTTTCATTTGAGAGTGTAATTAAGTTGGTTTCTCTGTATTTCCAACTGTCTTTAAAAGAGCATAAGCAGTCTCATGTTCCATCTCACATGCATGCCGCCTCTGTAAAATTCCTAATTTTCAAAATCAATTAACACTTCATACTGAATCAAAACATCGAAAAGGGCGAGCTCAAGCATATCGCAAGGTCATAAAATAACAAGCCTCTATCAAAAAAGATCAATAAATTTTAAACCAAATTACAATTTCTTAAAACCAGGAACATCCTGCAATTTTTTTTTTCTTTTAAACTGGGACATGAGATTAGTATTAATTCTTCTAATAGGATTTATGAATTTTTATAAATACAAATTAAGAAAAAGGTGAGTTAGATAAAAAGTTACCTAAATTAAAGAAAAAAAAAATGGTTTTCAATGAGTTGAATGATGTAAACTTGAACGAAAATTAAATCCTAAACTATAATTTAGTATTTTGCGTTGTATATGAAAAAAAAAAAAAAAAAAAAAAAAAAGCCTATTTAAAGTTTTCGCCTTAGGCCAAATCTTGTTGAGCCGCCGCGGGCATTGGAGTCAACTTCATCGTCTTTTTGGTTTTTAACACTAGCCCACCCACATGTATCTATCAATATTTTAGGGTTCAAACACAATAATCCCCCTCAATTATAATTAAATAATAAAATCTTCCTATGGTTAGAGATTTATTTCCTTATTGTTAAATAATTAAATAATAAAATCTTCCTATGGTTAGAGATTTATTTCCTTATTGTTAATTTGTAGGTATTAAAATAATTAGTAGAGGTGTATTTAAGTATATATTTATTAACTTATCATGTTATAAATTCTAAACACTACACTAATCATTAATTAACAACAAGGTAGTTTTTATTAATTTCGAAATCTCAAGCGAACTTTTATTACTTGATTAAAACTGAGCGATTTTTAGCAATATTTTATCTTTTATAGATCACACAGTAGGCAAAAACATTTCCATAAAATTTAAAGTTTTTTTATAAAAAAGAAAAAGCACAAGCATTTGGCTAAGTACCCATGATACAATAATGTTACACATTTATAAAACCGAATATACCAAGTTTTTAGTTTGCTACAAAATCATAGGATATTTATTTAATGAAAATAGAGTAAAAAAAAAAAAAAATTTGATGTGATATTGACATGTATATAAAAATATGTACATTTAATTAACAAGTTTAGTTTTCACTTTCTAACAAGTATGAATAAAATCATGGCCATAGTAAATGGTTTGATTTTACCCAGGATAATTATTAATAGTAAATTAAAAATGAAAGAATTTATAAGTTACAAAGATTTCAGATATATCTACCAATAAATATTTTGCTAGAATTACAAATTAAAAGAATTTTTTTAACTGAAAACAAATGCTATTGAAAATATTAAAGAACTTTGTTAACGTCTTCTTCCCCTTTATTGAAGTTATAGTTTAAACTTTAATTGCAACACACTGACACAAATCTACATTAATCTCCCTTAATTATTGATTGTGCTCTTTCAGTTCTTTGAAACTTTAGAGTTCATTCCCTGGGAACCGAGCCTCAAGGAGGTTCGAACATGCGCAGAAAAAGACAGGCCATACCTCCTAGCCCTGAATCAAGTTAATAATAAGGGTAAAAGCTCATATTGAATCAAGACGTTAAAAATGCAGGTTCTAGCATACCATAAGATCTGAAAATAACTGGGACATAAGATCAATGTTCATTTTAATGTTACTAATACCAACATGTAGTGGCGGATCCAAGATTTTTGTCGAAGAGGGGCCTCCGTGGCTCGGCTATTATTTATCAAATAATTAGTGAAAACTTTAAAAAATCACCAAACCTTAATCAAAAAAATAATACAATATTAAGAACCTGAGAAAAAAGAATATGCATTAACACAATATTTTTTTTACTTGAATAAATCTATGAGAAGCAAAATTTTGAGTAAAAATATTGAGTAAACCTTGAACAAAACCTTCTTTTAATATTTTTATTTTTGACTTTCAAGTATAATAATATAAATTTTCATATTGTTGATCAAACCTAGCCTAATTAAGCTAAAGTCAACCAAAACTTAAATCAAGTCAACATTACATTGACTTTTAATATGAATTAATAAAAGAGGGGAAATTTTTTTAATATAAACATAGATAGTAACTCAAATTTCTTTAATAATTTTAAACAATTGAAAGGCGACGTTTAAAATATAGTAAAGTGGTGGGTGAAGGATGAAGAATAACGTCCTTTAAAATATAGTTAAGGTTTTAATTTGAGAAAGCAGGTTCATTCTTAGACAGAAAATACAAAATAAACTCACAAGATTAATATTTTTTTCTCTCAAATTAGAATAAAAAACCTCAAAAAGAAAACAAAATGATTAAATCCTTAAATAAACTAAATTGAAATGAATAATACACATACCTAAAATCTATAAGACAGAAAACGGAGCTAATTATGACACCTTGAGTAGTGAAAATTTAACAATTTCAGTCTTTAAAAATTTTAAGAAAGGACAACATGAGAAAGAGAAAGAGAGAGTAAAGAATTTGCGGATAAAATCGTAAAAAAAAGGTAAAGCTGTGTAGAAAAACACTGGAGAGAGTTTTAAATTTTTAATATGATGTGGGTTTGGAATATATATATATATAACAAGTTTTTTTGTAGACCTAAATATACAGCATGTATAATAATTCTTATTTTTTAAAAATTTGAAGATGCGTCTGTGTATATATGTTAATTAACAATTTTTTATGGCCTGTATATTAATAAAAAAATTTTCAAATCTGAGGGTAGGCCTGAATCCGCCCCTGCCAACATGCCTATTGCCTACTGAAATATAGGAACCAGGGCGAGCTGAAGCTGTAAGAATTCAGGTTTCAGCATTGCACAATGTAAAAACATTTCTATTCCATCTTTCATATAAAAGTTCATAATATAATCAATTATAAACATGTCAAATATTCATGAAATATTACGGAAGTAATTTACAAACCTCCAGCCATAGCAATTGTTGTTTAGTCTTCTTGCTTCTATCACTTCAAAATACAGAGTCTTCCACTGACTGCAATTTTTCAGAGTGATAGTTTTGGGAAAAATGAATTAATTGCATCAAATGGGAACTTGTAAAATCTCCTTCATAAATGCAGTTGTCTTTCCATCAACGACAACTGCCCAAGAGACACAACTGCATGTAACTTTCATTATAATCCACATCAGCAGTTACCCATTCACTTTATATTAAAAGTGTAGGACCATAATATAATTATATTAAAAGTGTAGGACCATAATATAATTATATTAAGTGTAGAACCAAAATATAATTATATTAAAAGTGTAGGACCATAATATAATTAAAATTCTAACATTCTCCCATTTGGTCCAAACTTTTATTATATAATCCACAACATAGGAGTTGTATATTCTGTATGCTTAATCAGAAAAATAAAAATTACATGAATCATAGCGATAAGTCCCTTTCAAACAAGTATTACATTTCATGTATTACTATGCAATTTTTCTCTTTCTAAATAAACGCTAAAATGTGGAATATTACTTTATAAACAAACCTCAAACGTTTGTTCCAGGTCCTCCAGAATGTTCATTTGTCTCCAACCAAAATGTATACAACTTAAAAGAGAAAACAAACTAAATTAAAAAATTTCAGAGAATGAAAGTATTACCTCTCATAGTGACAACGCGGGACATAGTCTCATTTGAACTACATGATTCTTGAACGTCTTTGGTGGCATATCTTTTATTAGAGGATCAGCAATGATCATCTGCTCGGTATGTATGTGTTCAATGAGCACTTCTTTGGCTTTAATGTGCTCTCTTATTGCTAAGTACTTAATGTTAATATGTTTACTTCAACTTCCACTCTTATTATTCTTAGCAAAGAATACAGCAACTGAATTGTCACAATATAACCTTATTGGCCTAGAGATAGACTCAACAACTCTAAGCCCAGAAATGAAACTTCTCAACCAAATACCCTGTGTAGTGGCCTCAAAACAAGAAACAATACCCTGTGTAGTGGCCTCAAAACAGGAAACAAACTCAGCTTTCATGGTAGAGGTGGCAACCAAAGATTGTTTGACACTTCTCCAAGATATAGCACCTCCGGTGAGCATAAAAACATATCCGGATGTTGATTTTCGAGAATCAACACTGCCAACGAAGTTTGAGTCTGAATATCCGAAGACTTCTAGAATGTCGGACCGTCTATAAGTAAACATGAAACCTTTAGTTCCTTGAAGATACCTCATGACCTTCTTTACAGCTCTCTAATGATCCAAACCTGGATTACTTTGATATCTTCCTAACATGCCAACTGCAAAAGCAATGTAAGGTCTAGTACAGACTTGAGCATACATTAGGCTTCCAACAATTGAAGCATAAGGAATAGTTTTCATTTGTTTCTTTTCAATCTCAAGTGTAGGACATTGGTTCATATTGAACCTGTCACCCTTAACAATGGGTGAACAATCCTTCATCCTAAATCTCTCAAGAATTTTATTAATATAGGCTTCCTGAGATAGTCCCAAAACATGTTGAGACCTATCCCTGTGAATCTTAATGCCAATGACATAAGACGTCTCACCCATATCCTTCATACTAAAATGTTGAGAGAGAAATTGTTTCATCTCATGTAGCAAACCCAAATCATTGGTTGCAAGTAGAATATCATCTACATATAACACAAGAAAGATGATTTTACTCCCACTGACCTTATGGTATATACACTGATCCATGACATTCTCTACAAAACCAAATGAAGAGATAACAGTCTGAAATCTTAAATACCACTATCGAAAGGCTTGTTTAAGTCCATAAATGGACTTCTTAAGCTTGCAAAACAAATGCTTACCATCACTTGAAATGAACCCATTAGGTTGTTTCATATAAACCTCTTCCTCCAAATCTCCACAGAGGAAAGTTGTTTTCACATCCATTTGATGTAAATCTAAATCAAAATGAGCAAACTAATGCCATTATGATGCGAAAGGAATCCTTTTTAAGAACTGGAG